TAATGATCTGTATTGCAGCCAAATAATTAAATTCTTGACTATTAATCAGTACAAGGAAGTAACTTTCAATTTTGAAAAAAAAAAAACTTTTCTCTCATCAAACAAAATAAGTTAAAACAAAACTTTTTAAAATTTATTTTTTGTTTTGTTTGTAAAGTATTTTGCAACTCTGAAAAATAACTTCACATAAAAATTATAAATTATTTTTAGGATTAAACTTAATTTTTTTTAGTTGCTTTAAATGTCAAAAATGACCCAAAGCTACAAAAACTACCAATACTTCTGTAAGCAAGATATAATGGACCCAAAGGATGGCATTGTTGAAAAATAAACTTGCAACAGATTCTTGGGGAGGTTAAGCTGTACAAGTGAGAGTTCTAGATACTTCTCAGGATGTTCAAGTCCCAATAGAGAGTTTCCATTTTCTTGAGCTGCCTGGTGTTCCTCCACACAGGCTTCAGCTAAATGTTGGGATGCTCATCCTGCTTCATAGAAATCTTGATCTTCCAAGTTGTGTAATAAAATTCAGCTGGCTGTCAAGCAGATTTTTCCCCACACATCCTTAAAGGCAACTAGCTAAAATAAAATAAGCATATTTTGGAGAATGTTGATAATTCCAATAGTCCTTTGAATTTAAGTGACTTCAATTCCTGGTGAGGCTCCACTTTACCATGATCTTCAATAATGTTCAAGAACAACCTTTCAAAATTGATAGCCCTAACCCAAATTACCTGTGCTTTTATCAAGGCCAGTTCCAGGTCAGTTATTCTAGGGATGGATCTACAAAGAACCTTATTATATTGTCATCATAGCAGAAAGGACTAATGTTGTGTACTCAGAAACCCTATCAAACTAACTGTGTCATTTGTTTTGGTCATCAGAATCTTTTATCAGAAATAGCTACTTCATGTACATTAGTATAAATATTGTTGTTTGAGAATAACTTTTTTATTGGGTGATGTCAGATATCCCAACTCATAGTAAAGAAATTCTTCTTTCAGAGTTCAAGAAGTTTGTGTGGTGGATACTTACTACATTGTACTGAACACCCTAAAGTATTGGTCACTGATTAAGGGGTTCACAACAAATAGTGTCTTCTGTGTGCTCAACACCATATGATGCATTCTGGCAGATTGATAATCTTCATATGTCAAGTCAATACAAAGTAATAATCTCTGCAGAATTTAATAATGAATCAATGTTTGGAAATCTTTTCTAATTATTTTAAAGTATAGATCATAATACTATTAAGTGTATCAATAAAAAGGAAATCTATCAAGCCTGGAGATAATTGCCAAATGATTATCTATATATAAAATTCTGTGACTTCCATTAATCTGTCCATCCTTCTGTCCATCACACTCTGTAAAATAGCCATACATTGACTGATCAAAACCAAATTTTAGGGAGAATTGCAAACTGGTGTGTAGCTTAGTACAATATATTTTCATTCAATTTTTTTGGAAAAATTAAGTTTTATTATTTAATATACAAAATACTCTTACTATTTTAAAAACAATTTAATGATTAAAATAATAAATATTTATTTAATAAAAATGCAATATTGTTTTTTGCATATCTTTTAAGTTTTTATATTCAAGAATCCAGTTGATATGTGTTTACACCTTCACTTTCATCAAAGATATATTTGCTAGATTGTATACAAGTACACTCAAGAGAGAAATCATATTCTTGTGTACATTCTGTTTTAGTTAAGTCAAGTTTCACTGGAAAGAAACTTTATTGTTATTAAGTGTGCGGATATTTTACACAAAACAAGAATTTGTTAAAACAAGTACAATCTCACACTGAAGGGAGGGCATGTTCATGTCAAGTGTGTGGATCTTTCTTTACAAAAAGAAGTCATGTTTGGTCTGATATATGCAAACACTCCCTGGACAAAGACCACGTTGTGACAAACTATATGCTCCTTCATTAGCATGTAAATTGTGTGTGTGTTTTTTAGGAGAGAGGGTACTGAAAACTTTTCAACTCAACCTACATCCATAAATAATTTTCTTTTTTTTTTTGTTGTAGGATTTCTTGATCAGGTTGAGAACTTCTCAACACCAGTTTCATATATGCATGGAAAAATGATTGCTGTCTTTATGAAGTAATCAATTATGAATAAAATCATTTTTTCTCAAATTAAAAGTTACCAAAATATATTTTTTTTTACTCTTCAACATGATTTGACCAATATTACAAAAATATTGGCAATTCATACCGGACAATTTAAAATGCAAATCGAAGGAAAAGAGAAGAGTTTTTTTTTTTTTTGCATGATAAAATTGTAAGAAATTTAAACAGTAAAAAAAAAAAAAAAAAAAAAAAATTAGACAACAAACAGAAGTTAATAAAGAAGAAAGACTTTCAGTGAATACAATATGACTATTGGATATAAAAATCTAAAGTGAATCAGGCAAGTTTAAAACAAGAAGAAACTAAAATTAATGAATGTAAAACAGAGGACGTTGTTTCTTTTGACGGGCCTTCTACAGGGTGAACCCCCACTGTAAAAAAACAAAAAAACTACTGGTGATCTCTTTTCATCTCATTCTCTTAGAATTCTATAAAATTATAAAATTAGCACCAACAAGATTTTTGTTTATTTTTTTGTTTTCAGAGAAATCTTCTAAAAACAAATATGACTTGCAATCTTTGAAATAAAATAGATTCAAAGAGAAGCACATGTTCATCCCAATAAGAACAGAGATGATTGATAATTGAACAGATATCATTCTCAGCTGATTGATTACTAGGCACAATTGAAAAGAAACGGGAGTGAAGGTGATGAGTAATGAGGTCACAGATCTTCTTTTTTTTTTTTTTTTTTAAATGTAAAATAAGGTTATTTTAAGGCTAAGCACTGATCATTAGAAAGTAGGCAAGCAAATTTAAAACAGGGGAAAGATTTACATATCTGCATTATTCAGTTTTTGTTTGCCATTTAGAAAATTATCTGAGAGAGAAATAGACAGAAATCTTACAGGCAGCAGGTAATGGAATATAGAGTTTACAGAGGTAACAAAAAAAAAAATTGAAAACAAAATATATAAAAATGCTTATACAAATAGAAATAAAAGAAAAATAATTCAAGCCTATATAAATAAATATATGAAAAAAAAATGGTGAAATAGTAAAGTGGCCAGAAACTTTTAAATGATGAATGAATTATGTATTAATTGATGTACTGAGTTGTCTTTAAAATTCCTGCCTGAAAAAACTTAGTAGACACAATTAAGTGGGAATTTTAAAATTAATCAGTCAGATTTCCAATAACCACATGGGGCTCTTTCTGCTGTTTCCAAATTAATTTTAAGGTTCTAAATATCCAATGCACTGTCTATAAAACCAATCAAGTAGCACAATTTCATTCTCAAAAAAAAAAAAAAAAAAAAAGGTTCCTGCATATATAATCACGATGGTTGCTCATTGAGAATGTAGGTCAGGATTTACATTGTAAAAATTCAAAAGTGCTACCAACTGGTAAACAAAACCCAGTATTACTATATTTATTTTTATTTATTTTTTATTTTCATTTTTTTTTGAAGAAGGGGACAATTTAATCTCTTCTTTGAAAATGTCTACACCAAGCTCCAGATAATCCATTCAATGATGTTCTTGAGGTATACAAAATACATTCAAGAAGATTTGAAACTTTGTTAGGCGAGGCACTTATGACTGTCCAAGATTATTATAGTTTTACTATATCATTGCTATACATCTAATAAGCTGACCTACCAACTTATGCTATTCCAAATTGAAAGATACAGCTGTAACAGTTCTTCGAACACACCCTACTAAACACTGCTTGTCACAGCTGACTAGTTTGAAGATCGCAGTTGGGACATGAAGACAATTTGGAAGCTCACTATAGAATAAAGTTTTGTGTTAACAGAAATGGCATCAAAACTGTCCCTCACAGCCCAGACCTTGCTTCCTGTGACTTTTGATTGTTCCCCAATCTGAAGGAGTACTTCAAATGCAGTCATTTTGAAGACATTGAGAAGATGAAGGAAGCTGTGACAAGTGTCCTGGGCACCTTCACTTTGGATGACTTCCATGGGCTCTTAACGAAGTGGCTGGAGCATTATAACAAGTGCATTGAAATGAAAGGATCCTACTTTGAAAGAGATTAGAGTCTTGTACTTCTTTGAAATCTCATAAATGTCTCTCCTAGAAATGTCTCAAAACTTCTGGAATGTACCTTGTACTATCCAAATTGAAAGAGGATTTTCTTTTTATAGCAGGAGGAAACAGAAGAATAAAAAACAATAGAAAACATTATTTCTTATTATAGCTGTTTAGAAAGTTTTTAAAAGTTTCTGGTTGTTGCTAGCTCCTTTTTTTTTTTTTTTTTTTTTTTTTTTTTACACTACTGGGAATTGAAAATGTCTCTTTCTGTACTGATAGTACACATAAGCAAAGTTGTAGAATGGATTGTCCAAAATGCTGTGTTGAAAATATCAAAGACACAATGAAAAGATTTAATTGTCTAAAGCAAGAAAAAAAAAGTGGGGATGAAATGCTAACAAGTTTTAAAGTTAATTAAGATAAATTATAACCTCAAAATTAATTAGGAGTTTACAGAAATATCTTAATTGAGTTAATAAAAATTTGACCAAATAATTCTAAAAACTTGCATACAACACTAAAGCAATCAAGCCACAGGATCCTGAGAGACAACAAAAAGAAAAAGCATTATCTGAATGGTATTTGATGTAACAACATCCAGTGAAAGGTAGCTTACAAGAGAATTCACATTGGTAGCTGTTGTATCAGGACCAGAGAACATAAGAATTAACAAAAAAAAAAAAATACATCCATCTTATACTGTTTAATAACTTTGTACAATCATAGCAAATTATATCAGCCATCACCAATTATTCAGGTGTAAATTTTGAAACAGTGTTTTTCAGTTGTGAACAAGGTGAATCTGATTAGTCTATATCGTGGTGTCTTGTTAATTTACAAAGTACAAAGGCCAGTCTACTTACCTACACTCCCTAAATATCTAGCCCTTGAACTAAGGCTTGATCCTGTGTTTAAAAAAATAAATAGATAAACACAAGTCAAAAGATAGTTCATGTCAACAATAAGAAAACAATTTGTATATGATAAAAATATAGTTTTAACGTATGCTATATTTATGGGTTAAAATGCTCAGTATCAGAGATAGAGTGTATGTAAATGTAAAAGTGGACATTGAAGTCAACACACCCACAGATGACAGTCTGTTTCATGCTTATCATAAAGCTGTGTGTGTGTGTGATGCTAATAGGTTTTTAATGTAGTGAGTCCCCGGGACCCACTGGTAGTGATTTGGGTGTGTTCTTGGAAAATTCAATGGTTCCCAACTAAAGTTACTTACTAAATTTTTGTGTTAACTGCAGGTCTACAGACAAATTTTGTTTGTAGTTTTTTTTTTTTTTTAACCATTATCCCAAAAAAACAATTCTAATCAAGCTAAATCACTTAAATTGACAGAACAACTTTTTTTTTTAATTCTTTTTTTTAAATTAATAAATTCAAAACAAAACCAGTATTTACACTTAAACCCAGTTCAATTAAGAAATATTATTTTTGGGGGGTGAGGGGTTAAATTGACAGAACAAAAGTTGTTTTTTTTTTCTCCATTGAATCAATAAATTTAAAACAAAAAGCAGTCAGCCAACTTCAATGAGTTCAGGTGTATCAAATAAATTTAAAAAGAAATAAACAAATTTCTGGTATGGTAACATTGATATCTATTTCAAGCCACCCACACATCCCACCATTCAATGAAAAAAAAGAAAAAGCGAGTAAAAGAAAGAAAGAGTTGGATGAGTCTAAGCTTACAAAGGTGTTTGGAGTGACCACTAGTGATGATGACATTTTGCCTCCATTCATCTTCCCACACAAGGCCTCAAACTGAACACGGAGGCCTACATCAAGTGCCTTGAGCAGGTAGTGCTGCCCTGGATCAAGAGGGTGACTGCTATGTCTGGCAACAGGGCTCTGCACCATGCCACACAAGCAGGAGGACCCAGTCATGGCTGTCAGACAATTTACCTGACCACATCACCCCTTATATCTGGCCGCCTAACTCCCCAGACTGCAAACCTCTTCATTATTATGTGTGGGACACAGTTGAACAAGAGACCAACAAAACTCCTTGTAACACCAAAGATGAATTGAAGGTGGGGATTATGGCAGCATTCACCAACTTAAACAAGGAGAGTCGCAGGAGATTCTGAAGTCGTCTGGAGGCCATGGCTATTGAATAAATTTATTCTTTAGTATTTCAAGATATTTTTGTTTAATTTTGGTCAACATATCTGTTAAAATGAGATATCAGTGTTATTTTCTTTTTTGCTTAATTTAGATGACAATTTGCTCATCATACCCTGTATAAGTTAATTCAACCTATTCTTCTTTGAAAGGAGGGGAATGAAAGCTCAACATATTAATTTTGATATAAAAAAAATAAATGAAATAGAGTAATTTTTTTTAAAACATGAATCCATCAAGAAAGTTAAGTGTGATATTACAACCACTTTTCATCTTATTATCAAATAATTTCTATTTGAGATAAATGGCCAACCTAAAAATACTTTTAATAAATATGATCCCCAGGCATTTTTATATTTATATATTTAAAAAAAAAAAAAAAAAAATCTTATTATCTGAAAGAAGATGCCTTAGCTTACTTTAAGTTAATATTTACTGATATTAAATACTTCTAACTAAAATCTAAGAGTTATCATCTAACCAAACTTATGTCTTTAACTATATTACATAACAGCTCCTGTGTAAACCCTTCAATTAAAACAATGTCAGGATGGAAATATTTTTAAAAAGATGCTGCAAGTATTTTTGCAGAAGCCCCAAATTCCATGTTTGTTTTTGTGTTTTAAATAGCATTCTCAGACATTTAGCAAAAATATTAAAACTACTTTAAACTACATTTATGGTCAAACATTTATTTATCTATTTATTCAAAGACTCACAAGCTGTACTAAGAAACTTCCTAGGAGTAAGTAAATGAAAAAGTGACTTGTTTGTTAGTTGTTATTAAACATTCTATGTTTTGGGTTTATTTTTTTGGAAGTGGGGGGGGGTGCCATTTGATTGCCGAATATCTTAAAACTTGTATTTTAATATATAATTCTTTTCTTTCAAACTGTTCATAAATAAATATGTTAAAGACCTTGATAATAGTTTAGTTGGATTTTACAGGGTATCAATCTTTTGGGTCATTTAATGCTCAAAATATCTAATGAATAGAATTTATTAAGGACAAGTTGCTATTTAACTCATACTTGGGAGGATTTTATGAGGTTGATTTTTTTTTTTTCTTCATAGTGTCTGTTTAATGAAGTTAAATATATTATCAATCTTGATGATGTCCAATTTAAAATCTATATGAGAAACAAACCAATAAAATAAACGTGTCTTACAAAAAAAAAAGAAAAATTATTTTATGTCTATTTAACTTATTGATGTTTTTTCTAGTGTGTGAATAATGTCTCCCAAGTGATTGTTGCTGATATATAAAGTAGCTAAAATTAAACCTTGTATAAACCAAACATTTTAATAAGGTTTATGACAATGCCAAAATATACTAAACCAATCAAGTTTAGAGTTTTTGTTTTTTTTCTTCTTCTTCTTCATGTAGTACAGTTCAAATTCTTTAATCCAGTATGCTATAGTTCAGCACATTTTTTTTAATCTGCTACCATTAGTTTGTTGAGTTTAGTGTTACATGTTGCTCACAACTTTCTGCAGCAGTCAACATCAGCAGAGTGTTTTGGTAGCATTACTTATTGTACAGTACATAAACTATTATTTCCTGTTTGAACTCCAGGTTCCTTATAGACCAGTGGTTCCCAACCAATTTTGGGTTATGCCCAATTTTGGTATTTCTAAAATTCTGCTTCCCCTTTGGAATATTTAATTCTTACATATTCAAAATTTTACTGGAATTCACATGAAGGAAGCTTAAAAGGCCATTAACTTGGTCTCTAAACAAGCCTCCAAAGACCATGGCATACATGAAAGAGAAAAATTTATAAAAACAAAAAGACAGTTAAATACATATAGTTTCAAAACATATAATAGCGAACTGAAAGGCAGAAATATAAAATATTTGAATGAAAGTTTATTCTGTAATATACTTTGATCATTTTAATCATGAAATAATAATGCAAAATGAAATTTGAGAAAACAATTCATTGTTAATAACTCATTCTCAAATTGCCTCCTTATTTTGTTGGTATAGTAAGCCAAAGGGTGCACATCCTACACATGCCCCACCAAAATATTACCACACCTCATGTTGGGAATCATTGGTATAGGCCTACTACAGTAGAGTAAGTATATGTTACTTTTTAGTTTTAGGTTTTTTTCCCCCCCTTTGTATTACATAAAACAATAAAAACCTTCTTTGGAAACATTAATGATTGTTTTATTTCCAGTTTTAAGCTTTGTTCTACCTTTGATAATACAGCAATATATATATATATATATGTATATGTGTGTGTGTGTAATGAGCTGGCAAGACTATGGTTACATAGGGTTTTTTTAGGGTTAATTTCTGTCATCCAGCATTTTCTGTGGTCCAGCAGTGGCCTGATCCCAAGGGGGCTAGATTAAAGAGGTCAAACTCTACTTTTAAAAACTAAACCAAGGAGATTCCAATACAAGGCCACAATCATGGAAGGAAGATCCAGTGAAGCTAAAACCCGTACATCAATGGTCTGGAAAACTAACATGCCGACTAAATGTCACTCTTAGAAATACAGAAAAATAAAAGAGGCTTTAAAATATAATGTTTTAGATGTCAAATTTTATTGTAAGAATTTTTTAAAATCCTTAACAAAGACATAACAAACATGAAGGACAGTCAATGATAAATAACAGATTTATGTGAAAACAACCGACATATCCAATAAGTGTGTTATTGGAAGTTGCTCATGTACAAATAATTAAATAAATCAGAAGTAAACTAAATAAGCTAAAAATTAGTAATCATCACATTTAATTAGGATATTCAATATAATGTCAATTTTTACAACATAAGGTATTTTTCAATGATTTTTTTTTTTTAATTCTCTTTGCATTGCAAAGTTTTTAGATTTTTCAGAAGCATTTTAAATACACTTCCATTTTAAAGCATTCAATTTTTGAAGTAACATAAATTAAGATAAACCTTATGTTACTTAAAGTTGAAAAGACTGAAGATAGCTTAACCAAGGCCAACTGTCTGGAGGCGAATGAAATGGAAAGATTGTATCAGTATTTAAAATCAGAGCTTTAACTTTGATTGGTTGGTTGATTTGTGTTTTGCAGGTTACTGCAGAAAAGATTTTTTAGACTGTAAGAAATTTTGGTAATAGAGAAGAGGTGGATTTATACCTTTCCCAAGAGTATTTATACATAAGTGAATATATCAAACCAAATTAGAATTGGGACTCAACTCTCCGATTTCCAATTCCAAGTCATTATCCATTGCACCACCTGCACAGCCCAGCTTACAGCACCTGGTATTCTCAGGCAGGAACCTACCTAGGTACTTTGGTGATCACACGAGAACTGGTGTTTTCATGTGATATGGCTGTAAGCCCTTTAACTTGGACTCAAACAGAAAACACAAGAATATAGAGTTATCAACATATTATGAAATGATTGATGATATATGGGCAGAAAGGAGATAAAAAAAAATTAAGTTGAAACAAAGAGGAACTCAAATTCTGGTATATTTTGCTAATATAACAAAAATTGTTTTGTTGTCTTGGCCACTAAAAGTGAGTAACATTTTTATCAAACCAGGGTAGTTGCTTTTTATCATTATTATTTTGAATGTATCATGGTACTGTCATTTTGTAGATGTCTTGAGTACCAGGAAAGTCACATCACAACAAAGACCTCAGACAGTACTTCGAAGTATATATTCTGTATCCAATAAAGCAGTAGCATTTTGTAGCATTTGTAAAGTATACTTTACACCAATTTGGTCAATGTATTTTTTAACCTTTATCACACTGTATGTTATTTCATT